TTTTGTTTTTTTTAAAGACAGAGTCTCACACTGTCGCCCAATGTGTGCTCACTGCAACCTCCGCCTCCCAGATTCAAGTGATTTTCCTGCCTCAGTCTCCAGAGTAGCTGGGATTACAGGTGCCCGCCATCATGCCTGGCTAATTTTTTGTATTTTTAGTAGAGATGGGGTTTCACTGTGTTGGCCAGGCTGGTCTTGAACTCCTGACCTTGTGATCCGCCCACCTCGGCCTCCCAAAGTGTTGGGATTACAGGTGTGAGCCACCTCACCTGGCCAAAAGTTTAACATTTTAATAGTAGCATATACGCTAACATCTTGAAAATATAATTTACATTGAGCTTCTCTGTAGTAGGTCAGTAAATTTGTTGAATGACTTAATAAATGAACCACCATGATTCTTGCCCAATAGATAGGTCAGTTATTTCTCTTTCCCGTCTTATGTAGGTCCAAGAATATATGTATTTGAAAGAGACTTAATGGTCATCAAACTGCTTGCTGAGTCCTGAAACTTTTCTAAAGCCATTTCTTCTCTCTACTTTCAACCTAATTAGGACATCCATTATGAAATATGATTTCAGAAGTTCTTGCTGTAGAGTCCCCAACTTTTTCTGTTCTTGATGCTTTTAGTGTCCGTAGGCCAAAATAAATATAACAGTTCCATTTATTAAGTAGTTTACCTCCAAAGAATTTAAAAGTATTTATATTCTAACAACTTTGTGCTTGTTAAAAAATTAATGCACATAAATTGGGGGAGAACGTAATGTTTGTGTTTTATTCTTGATTAGTCCCAATTCCTTGCTAACAGGATGTGTGAACCTATTGGGTACTGTACAACTTCAAGCCTTGAAATCAGATTAGGCACCACCAACCTCATTTCCTGTTTCACCTTGAATTTCTGTGATACCAAAATCTGAGCTTCACAAAGTTACTGAAAGGTATGTAGTACAATCTATGTGCAATCTATGTCATTGGAACTGTGCTGTACTTAAACCTGGTAGTTTCTGTGATTATCTTCCACATGTTAGGTCCTTTGGTGCCTGTTTGTTACGGTACCAACTATGCAGTTTGGGAACCAGGGTTGTAGGGCGAGAATCAGAACAGAAAGGGAACTAGTGCATATGTAGCTCCACTTCATTTGTCAGCTTTAATGCCAACAGTGACTTTTATGAATAAGATTGTAAAACTTTGGAGGGATTATAATTAGTACTACCATATTCAGAAATTCATACATAATATCAATTAACATTTCTTAATATTCTCTCTACGAGATTTTTTAAAAACTCCTATTTAGTTAAATTCTAATTAAAATTGTTTTAAAGTTTTAGCATTAGTGTTTACAAGTAGTATAATTTTTTTTTTTTGCCATTCCAGTTTTGGTTCATGAAGTTTCACCATCATTTCAAGTAATCATAAATGGCAAATTCTACAAAAGCAGAGGAATATCAAAAGATGTCTCTTGAACAGGCAAAAGCATCAGCAAATTCTGAAACAGAGTCTTCGTTCAGTATTGATGAAAACACAACAGCTTCTGGGACTGGGCTTTCTGAAAAGACTCCTGTCTCTGGGCAAGTAGACACAGCAAGAAAGAGAAAAGTGTTTGAAGATGATTTTGTAAAGGAAAGTTCTAGTTGTGGGGAAGACACTCCATCCAAGAGGAGAAAACTTGATTCCGAAATTGTCCCAGAGAAAAAAGACTGTGGTTACGATGAAGACAATTCAGAGAAAAGAAAGAGAGAAACTGAGGATGTTCCAAAAGATGAATCTTCTACTGGAGATGGCACTCAAAATAAGAGGAAAATAGCACTCGAGGATGTTCCTGAAAAGCAGAATGTATGTTTAGTGTATTTTCTTTTATTCATAATAGAAGATGTAAGTTTGAAATGTGGAACACCTGTAGAATCATACTGGTTTTGACATAATAGCTTAAGAATTTTTTTTTTTTTTTTTTGAGACAGAGTCCTGCTCTGTCACCCAGGCTGGAGTGCAGTGGCACAATCTCAGCTCACTGCAGCCTCTGCCTCCTGGGTTCAAGCAGTTCGCCTGTCTCAGCCTCCCGAGTAGCTGGGACTACAGGTGTGTGCCACCATACCCAGCTAACTTCTTTGTATTTTTAGTAGAGACAGGGTTTCACCATGTTGGCCAAGATATCTCAATCTCCTGACCTCGTGATGCCCTGCCTCAGCCTCCCAAAGTGCTGGGATTACAGGCATGAGCCACTGTGCCTGGCCAAGAATGTTCTATTTTTAATAGATATGGTCTTAAGACGGAGTAGGCTTTTAACTCTTATGATTTTTGTTAAGGTGCAACATCACCTGCTAATGAGATAGATTTTTTGGTTTTTGTTTTTATTCTCTGATGAGATCATCTTTATTTTATTTTAGAATCTTACTTCGCTAGAAATGGTTGTTTTTTTGTTTTTTTGTGAGATGGAGTCTTGCACTGACGCCTAGGCTGGAGTGTAGTGGTGTGATCAAAGCTCATGGCAGCCTCAACCTCCTGAGCATAAACAGTCCTCCCCTCCTATAACTAGAAACTTGAAAGCTGGTTTGCTCTTTGTTGGTATTTTTCAAAGGACTAGAGTATGACATCCAAATGATTTACCTGTTTTCCTTTTTTATTAGATGTTCATCTACAGTATTTTTGTCAGAAGTTATCAATTAAAGGGATAACTTTTAAAATCATACCTAGCTTTACATCCCTTTAATGTAATTCCTTAAACTGTTTTCAACTTTTTATTAATGTATTTAACATACGGTTTTAGTTAAGTAAATGCAAGTGCCTAATATTTAGCAAGGATATTATAGAGCAAATTGCTTTCTTCTGGAAATAGCACATTAGAAAGGAATTTGAGGCAGAATCTGGAGTTAGAGGAAAAGAGTACTTTAATAAGTGAATAAAATTGTACCATTGACCCTTATGAGGAAAGTGACTAGTAAGTGAGGCTTTTGTCATTAATGGAGCATGAATTCTTATAACAGAGAGGAGCTTGTATTTTTTGAGACAGTATCACCTTGTCACCCAGGCTGGAGTGCAATGGTGTGATCTTGGCTCACTGCACACTCTGTCTTCTGTGTTCAAGCAATTCTCCTGCCTCAGCCTCCCAAGTAGCTGGGACTATAGGCGCCCACTACCACGCCTGGCTAATTTTTGTATTTTTAGTAGAAACGGGGTTTCACCATATTGGCCAGGCTGGTCCTGAACTCCTGACCTTGTGATCCGCCCATCTTGGCCTCCCAAAATGCTGGGATTACAGGTGTGAGCCACTGCGCCTGGCCAGGAGCTTATATTTTAAACATAGTTTTCAAACTTTTACTAGTCCCAGAACCCCTTTTTCTAGTGAAAATCTTACGCTTAAACCTGTTATGTAAAATGAGTGAAGGATTTGCTTAAAGGCCTTTCAGCATATCAGTGAGATTCAGCACTTTGGCTGAAAAGGAAAGGAGGAGGATCTGAAGCCCTTTACCTATCATGTCAGTTTTACAGGATTCCTAGGGCTTCAGGAAGCACAAAATTGAAAACTGTTGGGTTACATATAACATAAATAATGGCATTATCATAATAGAAATCGCTAACACTGAAACACTGAATTCTAATCTCTCTCTCTCTTTTTTTTTTTTTTTTCCATTTTTTTGAGACAGAGTCTCACTCTGTCACCCATGCTGGAGTGCAGTGGCCTAATCTCAGCTCACCACGACCTCCACCTCCAGGTTTCAAGCGATTCTCCTACCTCAGCCTCCCAAGTAGCTGGAATTACAGGTGTGCCCCACCATGCCCAGCTCATTTTTATATTTTTAGTAGAGATGGAGTTTCACCTTGTTGGCCAGGCTGGTCTTGAACTCCTAACCTCAGTGATCCTCCTGCCTGGGCCTCCCAAAGTGCTAAGATTACAAGTGTGAGCCAGTGTGCCCAGCCCTAATCTCTTTATATACATTATCTTATTTAATTGTCACAACAGCTTTATAATAATGTAATTATAGTTTATTCCTATTTTATTCCCTTGTAGAAACCCTGAACACTATCATTTATTGAACTGAATAAATTAGAACTCTGGAAGAGTACTGGGTTTATTAAAACATTGACACCAAAATTATACAGATGAAAGATCAAAATGAAAATTTTAAACCTAGAGATGTTTTTCAAAATAGGGGGATATGGTTTGGGTGTGTCTCCACCCATATCTCATCTTGAATTGTAGCTCTCATAATTCCCATGTGTGTGGGAGGGACCTGGTGTGAGATAATTGAATCAAGTGTGCTCTTCCCCCATACTGTTCTCCTGTTAGTGAATAAGTCTCATGAGACCTGATGGTTTTATGAGGGGTTTCCCCTTTCACTTGGCTCTCATTCTCTCTTGCCTGCCACCATGTAAGACCTGCCTTTCACCTTCCACCATGATTATGAGGCCTCCCCAGCCACATGGAACTGTGAGTCCATGAAACCTCTTTTTCTTTATAAATTACCTAGTCTCGGGTATGTCTTTATTAGCTGCATTAAAATGGACTGATATTTAGGGACACAGAAAACAAATCTTATGTCTAATGATAATGAGTGAGACTTCTGTGGTTAATTGCCATTACTTAGTGAAGTTTACTAATTCTAGTAGTAGTTCATCCATTCACAGGTCAGATCTTCTGAGGCTTATTTCTACCATGTTCTGATCCTTGATTTTTTCTATTTTCAGAATCTAGAAGAAGGACACAGCTCAGCCGTGGCTGCCCATTACAATGAACTTCAGGAAGTTGGTTTGGAAAAGCGTAGTCAAAGTCGTATTTTTTACTTAAGAAACTTTAATAATTGGATGAAAAGTGTTCTGATTGGTATGATTGTTTTTTGCTGTTTAGCTTGCAATTTTTCATTTTAGCTTATGTTTCCTTTTTTTCTCCCCACTGGTTTAACCAACACCAAGCTACCGAGTCCTTAATTACTGTTCATTTAATTATCAAACCTTTATAGACTCACTCTATCAAGCTAGAGCCAAGACTAGGTCTTGAAGATAAATTCTTTTAATATTTATTTTTGGTTGACTGTGTAAGAGTTTACTGGGTGTTTAATTGATTATGTTAATCAGGCTTTCAGAAAGCAATATGCTTTTTTTAGGCACCTTAATTAAGATTACCTAGTACTATTAAGTAATGATTTTATTTCACCTTGTTAGTTTTGAAGCAGCTGCATATTGTTGGTTAAACATTCAGGTTTCATTAAGTCAAGAAATAGGTAGTATCTTGATTTTTTTTTTTTTACCTCTGGGCCTTCAGTTGCTTGATAAAGATCATGTATATTACCTTGAGGATAGATAGATATTCAGCTTTATTGAGCCAACATTTTATCTATGGAAACTCACCTTTGAAATTTAAATGAAAGCGAGCAGAAAAAAATATGATTCAGAATACAGTTCTTTTCAGTACCATAAGAGAGGGTGAAAAAAAGGAATATAATTATTGCTCTGTATATGAACTTTAATAAGTGGTGTGTTTTAAAATTTTTCATAATAAAGATTTTTTTTTCAAGCCAGTCAGAGAAGTGAGGATGCTTTCTTAATTATGCTAGGAAGAATCAAGTGGTTTTTCCTACTAGTTTTGATGAAAATTTACTAATTTTCGAAGATAAATTACCCATTCTGAGAAGTATTGGGAATAGGAACTAACTAGGCTTATTTTGAGCATATTCACTTGTTTTTAACATTCATATGTTAAAATATGATTTATTTGACTTTGCCGTGTATCAGCTTAGGCTAAATGAGTGTTCAATTTTTTTTTTTTTTTTTTTTTTTTGGATTAATGTAATGGCATTTTCAGCCTTTACTCACAAGGTTCTCACTTGACCCCCCATCCTAATTTCTTTTCAGCCTTTCTCTTCCTTCATTATCCTCAGTGATGCTGATAACTTATTGGATTTGTTTATGAATTATTATTCATGTTTTTTATTTTATTTTATTTTATTTTATTTTATTTTATTT